TCATCCCTTTACGGCATCGCTCTGTCCAATCATGACGCGAGCGGTCCAACACGAGCATCCGTCCAGACTCTTGTTTTGTCCGCGGCTCCGTCCTCCTCGGAGGTCACCGTATCAGAGCTGAAACATGTGCACAGCTGAGATGAACAGCAGAACTCACCCGAGACCCTCTGGGTGTCGTCCGTCCCTCCACTCCTGCTTTTTATTATTATTTTTATTGACATGATGGTCGTCCCTGACTGTTGGTCCTCCAACCATCGAACTACCTGTTGCCAGAATCCAGCGATGGTCCGTTTCCTCAGTCCTCCAAACCACATCTGCTGAATCTGCTGAAATGCTCCAGTAGTGTAGTAGGACACTAATATATAAGAACAACAACACACACTTCTCCTGCCGGACTCCTGCCATCCTGGCCTGTCATATCACCCCCTCACCCTGACCCCTGACCCCCGACCCCCCCCGTGGTCTGCAGCTCTCTGAAGAGACTGACTGGCGTCAGACAGAAGAGTTCCACGTCGAACATCCAATCACAGAGGGAGAATCCAAACATATTTTTACGTCTCCGTGTCGATCGTGTCTGTCGAGGGTGAAAATATCACAGAACTGGAGTCTGAATACTTTCATAAGCAAAATGTGTTTTTAGTGCCACCTGGACTGACTCTCCAGCTTTTCTCACTACGTGACGGTGCAGCGTGTTCGTACCTGGGAGAAGAGAGTGGCGTCGATGTGCTCAGCTCGTTTTCACGCGCACGCCAGGTTTTGCTGGTCGCCTTTCATCGAAACTGTGGGAGATAAAAATTTATAAAAAAAAGCTACACCAGAACTGGCTTCCACATCAGGCTGTGGCTCACACAGGAGCAAGACAAAAAAAACTGAACAACAACTGCATTTATGACCTGAACCAAATCACCTCGTCTGGGTTTGTTACTTCAAAACAAAACCTAAGAATGATCCGTGGAAATTTTAGGAGACATGGCTTCTCTCTTCCAAAACCAGCGAAGCTCCTCTGGTACCTCCCCTGGAAGCTGAGTCCAGTTCTTGTGTTCTGGCCGTTAACGGACCACGGTCCACAACAGTCGATTGATTTGACGTAGCTGTTTTTAAGTGAGCTGATCTGTCGTCACTAACCCTGGTCAGGTGCAGGTTAATCTGTCCTGGACCTCCCTGGTGTCAGACCAGGTTTCTAAGAGTTGTCTATGAAAGGTGACCAGCTGTAAAACTTGTTATCGGTTCATGCTAACACTTATGCAAAAATCTGGACAAGCCTTCTGCCACAACCATCGGCCACTCTGTTTGGTTGTCGTCCCTTTCCTTCGATGTGTGGTTTTTTAAAAAAAATTGTTTTGGATTTATTTTGCTGAGAGGACTTTGCTGCGGCTTCTCCTCAGCCACTTGTTCTTTGAGCCAGAAAACTCCAGCAGTTGCAGGAGGATGATGATGATGATGATGTTGATGATGATGATGATGATGTTGGAGGAGAAGAAGGAACCGTTGAGGAGCAAGTCAGTGGCTGCTGGAACAAGAGGGAAAACCCCTGCTGGACTGGCAGCGTCTGAGTTTACATCCCTCCCTCCCTCTCTCTCCCCTCCCTCCTTCATGTCCTCCGACCTCCTTTGAGACTGTGAGACTATTGCAAAGACTTCATTACTAAGGCCAGGGACACTGGACCTGTCCACCCCTCTCAGACCCCCCCCCTCTCCCCTCCCTCCTTTGTCAGTTTATAATGTATGACTTCCAGCATATCATGAACTCCCCCGTCCTCCCCCTTTAAACCCTCACCCACTCCCCCAGTGTCCACGTTTCTTCCAGTGTCATAAACACCGGTCTTAGTTGATTTGACTTAGAAAGTTTTAAGAAAGCTGAGAAGAAAGTGTCTCTTTGTAGAATTAATCCCTTTTCATTGTCTTCATTCTTTTCTTGTTTTTTTTCTTCTGTTTTTTGTTTTATTTCCTGTCTCGATAAAAAAAAACGACAATTAAAAAAAGAAAGCAAATTAAATGTGATGGACATGTTCCAAACTCCATCCTGTATCCAGGTGTTGTACATTTCAGTTTTATCCCATAGACCACGAACGCACCAGAGGTTTCTCATGTTATTTATATATAGATATATATGTATATATATCTATATATATGTAGCTTCAATTCATTTAATTGAAATATTATATTTTTTTATTTACTAAAGTTAACAAGAAATCCAGAACATTCTAGCTTCAGGGGTGAAGTTGTTATTGTGATTTTTTTTTTTTTTTTTGTCGAGTTGAAGGTGACCTTGATCTTTGAGAGTTTGAAAAGAGCTATTAGACGTGTTCCTGAGATGTTGCAACAGTAATGGAATAATAAGTGCACGGTGTGAAGCCACAGTGACCTGTCAGCTCCTCCGTCTGTATTTTAAAACCTGCCTTTGTTACTCCTCACCAGGCTTTGACCACAGTTGAAGAACCAGTGACGTTGACTATGTTATCAACAGCAGGGAGAACAGTGTTCAGAACAGAACAGAACAGTTTATTAACATGAAAGCCCTGAAGAGCATCACAGTGAGAGAAACAGCTGAGGGGAAAAAAACCAAAACATTTGGAGTCGCAGTGTAACATCTTGTTCCAGTGTCCATCGACTAACATTCTGCCTCCAGGGTCAAACTGACAGGAATGGGGAGCATTTTACTACATTTAAAAAAAACAAAACAAAATGTCTACAAGTGGCAGCCATAGAACTGCCACGTATATATGTACATATCTATACATATACGGTGCATACATACATGTATCCATATAGGTGTGTACATATAACTTTAAAAAAAAAAAAAGCATTTTAATCCAATTGTAATTACTCATCAAATAAACTTAATGAATTAGGGAATTAAATTAAACTAACTAAAAATAACTTCATGCTCAGATCATCAGACATCCCATAACTTAAGTCACTGTTCAACCAATGCGGCACCTTTTCCTGGAAAAAGCACAAAGACGTTTCCTGAATCTTATCAAACCTCCAAAATCCCATCTTAATGATTCACAAAATTTCATAGAAATCAAAGTCATTTTGATAAATGACCTCATCAGAGACACAAACATAAAACCACAGGGGAAACGTTGAAAACTAGATGACTACGGTAAAATATATATCTATATATGTTTTATATTTTTACCATTTTCCTGCAGCATGACCAATGTGGTAAATGGTTAACATTTTGTCAAAGTGTGTGATAAAAAAAGATTGATTTTCAGCAAAATATAAATTTATGGTCATGAAATGAAGGAACAGTCACCAACCCGCTGAGCCACAGGACGCGCAGCATCTTCTGACATCTTCATTCAGTACATGGTCACGTCAGCGCCACCCTCAGGATAAATTAGACAAACAGCCACACACACACACACACACCCGTCCCAGCACATTCTGTATTTCTATTTTCTTAATACTTCGTTTCTATGTCTGCTCCCCCCCGACCCTCACCCTGACCCTCCACCCTGGGTGTGTTAGTGCTGTTTCGTTGTCAGTGTGGAGACGGTGGCAGCAGCAGCAGGTGGTGGTATACTGGTGGCTGAATGGAAGAAGTACATCTGGAAAACAGAGAGTCAAAGGTCAGCGCTGTGGTCCGGTTCATTCAACGTCAGTCGTTCACTGTGACCCACTGACCTTACAGCCCACCGCTAACAGAGTGTGCAGCAGCAGGATAGCCACAACTGTAGCCACAGCAATCAGCTTGGCCTCATCACGCACCGCGGGCCAGAATGTGAGCACCAGCACGGAGCCGGAGATCACCATGGCAACCAGGATCAACATCCAGCGCAACCACTCGAATGGGATAATCCATAAAATCTGGGGGGGAAAAAATAACATTTCAGCAAAGTCTGCATGGATTCATTGATCATCAGAGAGATGGCGCTGTGGTGCATTTTTGTGTGAGGATGAAGCACTTACTGAGGTGGGGATGTAAATGAAGAGGGAGTAGCCGTAGACACACACCGTCTCCAGGAAGGAATAACCTTTGACCTGCCGGTCAGCGCTCTGTCTCCAGGTCAGGAAACCCCACAATGCAACGGGAACCAGCCAGGCGTACATGAAGATGATGACTGCTGCGATGGTTACTGTGAACAAGAGGGGAAAGAAGCTGCCTCAGCAAAACAGGTAACAGTCGTGATGTCAGAGCACGATGTCGGACTGACCGACTGATGACTGACCGACTGACTGACTGACCTCTGTGGAACTGTGGTCTGTAGTGGAAGGCAGGGTTTCCCATCTGTGTGAGGAACATTGACAGGTTCCCACTAATGGCCACTGAGAACACCAGTGTGACACAGATCCAGAACGGACCTGAGTGAACGCACACACACATAACAACAATAATACAAATATTAACAACAAAATCAGTTTCATTCACTAAAGATTACAAGGTGAAAACGACGGAGACGCTTGAGCTTGGTTACCGTAGAGATCTGGGTTCGATCGAAGGTAATGTTTGATGAAGTTTCTTCCAGGTAAAGGCAGCACTGAACCCTTGACTCTGTCCAGAACCTGCAGTGTGTGATGATCGTGTGTCAAAAAAAAAAAACGCCAAAAGAAGCTGTAGCTGTCGACTGAGACATTTGAGCTTGGTTACCGTAGAGATCTGGGTTCGATCGAAGGTAATGTTTGATGAAGTTTCTTCCAGGTAAAGGCAACACAGAACCCTTGACTCTGTCCAGAACCTGCAGCGTGTGATGATCGTGTGTCAAAAAAAAAAAACAAAAACGCCAAAAGAAGCTGTAGCTGGACTCATGCTGTAACTCTTAGACACGGAGCTCGTACCTGCACGGTGTCCACGTTGAACAGAGACTCGTAGTATTCAAAGGTCCAGAAGCCACCTTGAGATTTCTGTCCCCCAAGGAGCTGAGCGAGGACATGTACCATGTGATGTCATCACGGAACAAAAAAGACGTTTTTACTACTGTAGCACAGAGACTCGGGGAGACCTCGGTGGTTACTCACCTCTGAACTCTCCTCCTCACCCTCCTCCTCATCTGTCAGGTCCAGCTTCACATCCTCACCTCCTGCCCTCGTGGAGGTGACTGACACACTCAGTGTGGTCGCCTCTGGGTCAGCAGACAGTAGATCTGCCGCCTCATCAAACTCTACACACACACACACACGTCCAGGTCAGAGGTGAATTTTTGCACAGTTTTCTGTGTCTGTCTTTAAAACCACCTTAGATTTTTTTTTGTGGTCTCTGAACATGTGATCAAATGCTGCTCTAACTGGCATTGCCACTAGAAGTCGCTGTCTACCCGGTTTTAATAACGCGAGGGAAAGAATTTTATTGCCATATCATTTAACAAATGATATAAGTGGGTAAAAAAGAACTCAGAGAGGTTTACAAATAAATTAGATTATTCAACCAAAACTTCAACTTTAGCTTTATTATACAAAGCATCAACCAAAATGCAGACACCTAAAATAAAAGTCTTGAAATTGTAGGTTTATAAAATCGAGCGATTACGTATTTTGCATAATACAAAGTGAGAACAAATACACAATCATTTTTCATTTCCAAACGGTGGCGCTCACGTGTAAATACAGACGCCATCATTCCTACCTTGGAACTGCAGATCATTCGGACTGGCCATTATTCCAGTGACACACGAGGGACCTTATAAAAACCTGAGGAAGTAAAGACAGACCATATGGTTGTGTACTGAACAACAAGCTAACACATATGAGCAGGAACCCCGTATTAATATACCCGAACAGGAATCTACAAGTATTACCTAATATTATATGAGTAAGTTGTGGGATATGTTAAACGTGTCTACATCAGAGAGACTCACCTGTCCAAGGAAGAACGTAACCGATGCTGACAGCTAATAGAAGACAAGCTAAATGACCAACCACACGCTAACGCTGTGCTCCCACATTTGCTACGGTGTATAAAATGATGAAGTAAATATGTAACTAAATAGCAGAGGGGAAATACCAAAAAAATAATATTTCAGTTATTGCCCTCTGATCATAGTAACAGCCAAAAGCTCCCGGCTGTCAATCCGGTTAACTGCGCTTCCTGTTACACGTCACCATGTATACAAAGGTGTCACGTGATTAAAACCCGTTATTCTGTTTTAATTTATTTTTAAACTATTTCCTTTGACAAAATGTGTTAAAAAATAATCGAAGTATATCGCGGTCTATATATGTTAAAAATATATATTTACATTAAGTAAAGATAGATGCCGTTTGAAACAAAATGAGCTACTTTAATAGCTTTTTGTTAGATGTAGCATGTTAGCGTATTTATGTAACGCTACGCGAAACTAAAAACAAATTTAAAACTTAAATGTAAAAATAGTAAAATAGTAATATCAATGGCAACAACAATAATAATAATAGTGTGAATTATTTAATTTTTAAATTAATAACGGAACGTTTTTCAGGGAGATGCTTCCAGTGGGAAGGCTAAAACCGAGTCACAGATCGCGGCCGCCATCTTGGCTCCATGTGAGCTGTCTTCTTGGCCGTCAAGTAGATATTTTTCATGAAGGTGACGGTGTCAGAATAGGTGAGTTTAGGAGACATGGCTTCGTTGCGTGTAGTGACGAGGATGTTCTGTTCTGCAGCAGAAACAACGACACAAACGGCGGCAGCTCCGGTCAAAAGAAGCCGCTGGGAGGCTCTGAAAAACAGTAAAGCAGGTAGGACTGAGCCGGTACACGGGCAACACTGTAATGGATACGTGTGTATAACATACACCGATATTATACTAAAGTCCACATGTCCAGTGATAAACAAAAAAACAAACTGGTTAGGATTCAACAACGGACCTCAAACTGAATTTAAATATTATTTTTTGCTTAAAATCAAAACTAAGGCTAACATGACATTGCAATTACATTAATGTTGATTCATAGCTTTAAATTATTTCCTGTGCAATTAAATGTTAAGTTACACGTCACGCTGCTGGGGCATCATATTTTACAATCATGAAGGTTTTCTGTGTCTAATAAGAGTTTATGTCCATACTGTGCAAAAAACAATTACTTTTTTCTTTGCCTTTTCAAACTATTTCCTGCAAGTCTGATAAAACATTGAACCAAACATCACATCATCAAATATGTTGAAATTTAAAAAAATAAAACTCTGGGTTTGTTCGTGTATGAAACACATGCAGGAAACAAAAATAAAACTCTGGGTTTGTTCGTGTCTGAAACACATGCAGGAAACGATGAATAATTCTGCAGCGTGGTTTTTGTTCACAACCATTGTTTGTTGCTTTTTTTTTTGGCCTATTCTAAGCTGTGTTTATAACTGTAAATAATATATAAATGTACTGGTTATGATAAGATTTAAAAGTACTACAAAAACATCATTTTAAAACCTAATATTTGACAGTATCTCAGACGTGTTATGTCTGTGGGTGACCGTTCGACGGTCAGATCATTTTCAGGTGGACGGGTTTGAACCAAACCTAGTGGCAGCCTGTTGCTCTCATCCATATAAGCCTTAAATGGTGGGACCTCAGGTCCTCACTCAGGTGTATGTGTGTGTATATGTGTGTGTGTGAGACACTCCTGACTCCTCCTGCTGTCTGTAGGTGTGTGGTGTCGCAGCCTGGCCTCAGACTATAAGGAGGCCTGTAAGGAAGCTGTGCTCGGAGCCTGGGAGAAACCACTCAAAGCTACAGTCTACGTGACCCTGCTGGGCGGGGCCTCCGCCCGTTTCTACACAAGCCCCGACCGCTCCTCCCTTTAGGCAGCGCCGCTCGGGG